TTCTGGACTCAGCCACGAGTGTGGGAATGGTGCCCTGGGGCCTGGCGGTGAGCAGGAGCCGAGCCAGCAGACCTGGGCATGGGGAGACGTTGTCCAAGCCCAGGTGTGGAGGCCAGTGGGCCCTGCAGTGGCCATGCCCTCAGGCCCACCCTCCCGTCTCAGGAGTCGGCCAGAACCTACAGGACCACCTGGAGGTCTACGTTCAGCAGGCATGCACCCAGCCCGTCACCCTGCACTCAGCCCAGAAGCCCTGGCGGAAGGTGTGGATTGGGCTGGAGTGGCTCTGGGGGTACACAGGTGGGTGTGCATGTCTGTGACCTTGGCAGAGAGGGTCTGGGAGTGCGCAGCCTCCTTTTCAGGGCGCTAAGCAAGGGCGCCTACCTCAGGTCACTTGTGCGAAGCTGCCTCTGCTCTTTGAGCCTCAGCTTTCCCATCTGCAAAATGGGGACCCCCAGCTCCTGCTGGCAGCCCAGGACAAGGTTCCTCGGGTGACGCAGGGGTGGCTTGGGCTGGACGCAGCTGGGGTCCGAGCAGCCGGGAGGGGGGCACAGAGGGACCCGTGCGGGGCTGCAGAGTCTGCATCCACTTCCCAGCATTTCCCGTTTGTCTGCCGGCTGAGGTCAGAGACCGTCCAGGCCCGGAAACAGTGCTTTAGGGTCCTGCTCACTCAGCATGTGTTTCTTGCACACGTACTCTGCACTGTCTGCTGTGCTTGGTGGTGCGAGGACCAGTAAGGCGAGTCCCCTTGGGGCTTCACACGCCAGTGGGTCAGTGGAAGAAACCAAGGGAACACGCTCAGTTTAAGTACAGCTGAGGAAGATCGGGATGTTCATTAAAGTAGAGGACATGGGCAGGGGCTGGGAGCTCGGGATGGTATATGCAAAGGTCCTGGGGCCAGGCGCTGGCGAGTCTGAAGGAATGTGCTGGGCCAGGGCACTGCAGCACACCGGGGAGGCTGGCTGTGGGTGAGGGTGGGATGCAGGGCCACAGGGTGGCCAGGGCACCAGGAAGGAGGCTACTGGAGCTGCCTCTTAGGAGTGATTGGGACGTGGACCGAGGTGGGGGTGTGGGTGGTAGTGCCAGGCGGGTGGATTTGGAGCTGAGGTGGGTGAGACTTCCTGATGGTGGCAGTGGGGAAGGAGGAGGAAGCAGGGACAGCTGGAGTCTGGGACTTCAGCCTTTCGTGGAAGGACAGTCAGGGGGGTGGGGGCGCCCAGTAGGAAGCCCAGCGACATGTGGCCTCAGGGCCCGTCAGCAGGGGTGGAGTGTGGGCAGAGGGCAGAGCTGAAGTCCTGGCGTGTAGCCGATACTGAGAGGCGTGGCGCTGGATGAGCCCGCCTGTGGACAAGAACTGGGGCGTGGGCTTAAGTCCAGACCCCAGGAGGAACTGCCAGGAGAGAGGAGACCAGCCGGCACCAGCCCGGAGGGCCTTTCTGCCTCATCCTCTCCGCCCTGCAGGGGATGGGGCCACAGCCCATCTGGAAACAGGTGGGTTCATCCGGAGCCAGCCTGGCATCCCCCACCCGGACATCCAGTTCCACTTTCTGCCGTCCCAGGTGATCGACCACGGGCGGGTGCCCACCCAGCAGGAGGCGTTCCAGGTGAGCAGCCGCCCCCCTTCTCGTCGGACGGCATTCTCCCCGCTGCACAGGGCCTTCAGGTGGGGAGCCAGAAGCCAGGGCCCAGCCCTCAGCTGTTCAGGGGGCCCGAGTGGGCTGGTTTCGGGGACTGGGATCTCCCCGGGCTGAGCCAGGCGCGCAGTGCAGCAGCTTGCGGGTGCCTGTCAAGGTGAGACGCGCCCAGCTCGCATGCGCTCGAGGCCCTGGAGCTGCCAGGAGGCGGCAGGGATGGACCGGGTGGCTCTTGGTCAGCTGTGGAAGTGGCGTTTGGGCAGCGATAGGATGCAGACAGACTCTGAAATGTATCTGCTCCAAGTTGGCTTTGGACATAGATCCCCAAGCCTCAGGAAACCCAGGGTCTCTCCAAGCTACTGACTGAAGGTCACCTCTGGGTTCCTCTAGGTGCATGTGGGGACCATGCGGGGCACAAGTGTGGGCTGGCTCAAACTCAGAAGTGCCAACCCCCGGGACCACCCTGTGATCCAGCCCAACTACTTGTCAACAGGTAACCCACCAGCCACCTGTGTCTCCCCCACGTGGGGGCTTGCTGGGCCATTCAGAATGCCTTTATGGGGTTCCTGTTATCCCCACGTCTTAGGATACAAGTCACCCTCTGTCCTTCCCTCTACCCTGTCACTCTAAGCTGTAGATGTGCATGTGTTGGTAGCGCTCTGGGTCACTGAAGTGACCCTGGCTGTCATTTTACCCAGGAGAGACATGCAGCTTTCGGACAGCAGTCTACCAGAAGGTACAAGGATCGCTGACTGTGTACATATGGCTCACATGCAGGGCATTTTCACTGCCCTCGTCCTGAGCATCCTCTGAAAGCGATCACGTTATGGGCCTCCCCGGCGTGCCACCACAAGTGCTCCCCGGCGGGCGCGCTCTGCTCAGCAGCGGCTCGTGGGTGCTCGCGGCCACACCGTGCCAGAGGCAGGGCATAAATTCTCGTCCTCTCCTACCAATGAAAATGCAGACCCCCCATTTATCTTTTATATGTGGTACAGAGAGTAAAACGCACAGATCTTAGTGCCCAGCGTGATGCGTTTTGACATGTACGTGTGCACTCACGTAACCATCACCCAGATCGGGACACCAGACATTCCGAGTGTCCTCTTCCAGCTCTTTCACCACCCTTCTCCCCTGTGGTGACCTCTAGTCTGCTCTCTGTATTTATGAGTCTGCTTCAGTTTTGTTCATTTGTTCTTTTAGAATCCACACACAAGTTAAATCATACAGTATCTGTCTTCCTCTGACTGATTTATTTCACTGAGCATAACCACCTCTAGGTCCATCCACGTTGTCGCAAATGGCAGGATTCCTTTTTTATGGCTGAGTAATACTGCACTGTACCTACACCATGTCTTTATCCCGTCATCTGTTGTAGACACTTGGGCTGCTTCCATATCTCGGCTATTGGAAATAATGCTGCGATACATATAGGGTGCATGTGTCTTTTTGCTCACTGTGGCTTTGATTTGCATTTCCCTGATGATTAGTGATGTGGAGCATCTTTTCATGTGCCTGTTGGCCATCTGGATTTCTTCTTTGGAGAAATGTCTCCTCAGGTCCTCTGCCTATTTTTTTAATTGGGTTATTTATTTTTTTTTGGTGTTGAGGCATATGAGCTCTTTATATATTTTGTATGTTAACCCTTTATCAGACGAATCAGTTATGAATATATTCTCCCATACTGTAGGTTACCTTTTTGTTCTGCTGATTGTGTCCTTCGCTGTACAGATTTTTAGTTTGATGAGTCCCACTTGTTCACTTTTTAGTTTATTTTTTCTAAATAAATAAACTTGCCTGACAGATGTGTCCAGAAAAAAATTGCTGATGCTTATGTTTGAGAGATTTTTGCCTATTTTTCCTCTAAGAGCTTTATGGTTTCATGTCTTACATTTAGGCCTTTGATCCATTTCAAGTTTACTCTTGTGTATGTAGTTAGACAATAATCCAGTTTCATTTTCTTGCATGTATCCAGTTTTCTTAACACCAGTTATTGAAGAAGCTGTCTTTTCCCCATTCAGGGCTCCTTTATCACATATTAATTAACCATATATGCATGGGCTAATATCTGGGCTCTCTATTCTGTTCCATTGATCTATGGGTCTGTTCTTCTGCCAGTATCATACTGTTTTTATTACTGTAGCTTTGTAGCCAGGAAGAGTAAAACCTCCAGCTTTGTTCTTCTTTCTCAAGATTGCTCGGGCTATTTGGAGTTTCTTGTGGTTCCATTCAAATTTTCAGATTATTTGCTCTAGTTCGGTGAAAAATGCCATGGTTATTTTAATAGGGATTGCATTCAATCTGTAGATTGCTTTGGGAAATACAGCCATTCAACAGTATTCTTCCTATCCATGAGCATGGTTTATTTTTCCATTTATTTGTGTCTTTGATTTCTTTCATCAATGTTTTACAGTTTTCAGAGTATAGGTCTTTCACCTTTTTGGTTAGATTTATTCCTATGTATTGTATTCCTTTTGAGACAATTGTAAATAAGATTGCTTTCTTAATTTCTTTTTCTGCTAGTTCATCACTTGTATATAGAAATGCAACATCTGTTCATTGATTTTGTATCATGCAACTTTACAGAATTCATTTATTCTGAGTTTTTTTGTGGAGTCTTTATGGTCTTCTATAGATAATATCATATCATCTGCAAATAGTGACAATTTTACTTCTTCCTCACCAATCTTGGTGCCTTTTTTATTTCTTTTTGCCTAATGGCTATGACTAGGACTTCTGGGACTTTGTTGAATAAAAGTGGTGAGCATGAGCGTCCTTGTCTTGGTCCTGACCTTGGAGGAAAAGCTTTCGGCTTTTTGTCATTGGCTGTGATGTTACCAGTAGGTTTGCTACATATGGCCTTTATAATGTTGAAGTCTGTTCCCTCTTTACCCACATTATTGAGAGTTTTTATCATGGCTTGGCAATGAACTTTCTCAAATGCTTTTTCAGCATCTGTTGAGGTGATAAATGGTTTTTATCCTTCCTTTTGTTAATGTGGTGTATCACACTGAATGATTTCTGGATACTGAACCATCTTGAATCTCCAGAATAAATCCCACCTGATTGTGCTAAATAATCCTTTTAATGTATTTTTGAATTCAGTTTGCTAATATTTTGCTGTGGATTTTTGCATCTATGCTTCATCGGGGATATTGGCCTATAGCTTCCTTTTTTTGTAATGTCTTTGTCTTTGGTGTGGTGCTGACCTCATAGAATGAACTTGGACGCTTTCCTTCTTCATCCATTTTTTGAAAGAGTTTAAGGATAGTTATTAACTCTTCCTTGAATGTTGGTAGAATTCTCCTGTGAAGCCATCTGGTCTTCAACTTTCTTTAGGAGTTTTTTAAAAGTATTGCATCAATTTTGTTACTGGAAATTTGTTCACAGTTTTTATTTCTTCCTCATTCAGTCTTGGGATGTTTCCAGGAAGTTATCTCCATTTCTTCTAAGTCATCAGCATATAATTTTTCATTGTATTCACTTATAATTGTTTGTGTTTCTGTGGTGTCAAGTGTAACTTCTCTTTCATTTCTGGGTCTTTTTCCCTGATGAATCTAGCTTAAGGTTTATCTTTTTGCAAAGAATCGGCTCTTAGAGTCATTGCTCTTTTGTATTTTTTAAACCTTTCTTGTATTTCTGCTCTAATCTTTATATTTCCTTCCTTCTCCTGTCTTTGGGTTTTGTTTGTTGTTCTTCTACTCTAGGTTGTCAGGTTAGATTGAGATGTTTCTTGCTTCCTGAGGTAGGCCTGTAACTCTATAAACTTTCCATTTAGCACTGACTTTTCTACATCTGAAAGCTTTTGAACCACTCTATTTCTATTTTCGTTATTCTCCAAATGTTTTTTTACTCCATCCATGATTCCCTCCTTAGCTCAGTAGTGGTTTAGTAGCATGTGTGTAGCCTCTATGTGTTTGTGGGTTTTTTACCAGTAACTGATTTCCAGTTTCATACTGTTGTGGTTGGAAAAGATGCTTGGTACGATTTTATTCTTCCTAAATTTATTAAGACTCGTTTTATGGCTGATGTGATCTATCCTGAAGAATGTTCTGTGTGCACTTGAAAAGAATGTTATGTATGTATTAGGTTCCTTGGGCCTAATGTGTCATTCAAAGACACTGTTTCCTTATTGATTTTCCGTCTGGATGATCTATCCATTGTTGTAGGGGGTTATCAAGGTCCCCTGCTTTTACTGTATCACTGCCACTCTCTGCCTTCGTGTCTGTTAACATTTGCTCTATAATTTGGATGATCCTGCTGGGGACATAGATACTTACCGTTGGTACATCTTCTTGCCACATTGAGCCCTCAATCATCATATGATGTCCCTTTTTGTCTCTTTTTACAGTCTTCATTTTAAAGTCTATTTTGTCTGATGTAAGCACCGCGACTCCAGCTTTACCTGCCCTTCCATGTGCATGGAGTATCTTTTCCAGTCCCTTCACTTTCAGTCTGTGTGTGTCTTTAGGTCTGAAGTGAGTGTCTTGCAGGCAGCAAGTAGGTCGTCTTCTTTTATCCACTCAGTAACCTTATGTTTTTGATTGGAGCACTTAAATGTAAATGGACCAAAGCAATTATCGACAGCGTGCACTCACAGCCATCCTGTCAGGTGTTCTCTGGTTGTTTCCGTCGTAGGTCCTTCTCTCGCTCCCTTCCCTTGTGTGTGTGACTTTCTTTATATGGTTGGATTTCTCCTCCCTTGTTTTTTGTGTATCTGCTATCGGTTTTTGCTTTGTGGTCACCGTGTGGCTTATATATGACGTCTTACTTACGTAGCAGTCTGTGGTAAGTGGACGGCCACTTACGTCGGAATGCATCCTAACGGCACTGTATTTTCAGCTCCCCTCCTCCACATTTTATGTGTATGATGCCTTCTTTTAGACCTTTCTGTTTAGTGATTCCCTCACCTGATTTTTAGAAATAGCTGATTTTACTCCTTTTGTCTTCTAAGTGATTGGTCTACCGCCTTTGCTGTCTTCTCATTATGGCCTTTTCTTTCCTTCTTAGAAGACTCTGCAGCATTTCTTGTAAGGCTCCTGTAACATGTTTATCTGTGATTTCCCATTTTGGATGATATTATTTGAGCAGGGAGGTCCTTCTCTTTCAGCACTTTAAATATATCACCTCACCCCTTTCTGGCCTGTACAGTTTCTGCTGAAAAATAGCTGTTGACCTTATGGGGTTCCCTTTGGAGGTAATGTGTTGCTTTTCTCTTGCCGCCTTTAAGATTCTGTCTTTGATCTTTGACATTTTCATTACGACGGACCCCCTTGGGTTTATCTTGTTTGGGGCCCTCCGCACTCCCTGGACTTGGATGTCTGTTAACTTCCTCAGATTAGGGAAGTTCTCGGCTGTAATTTCTTCTAATAAGGTTTCTATTCCTTTCTCTTCTCCTTCTGGGACATGTATAATGTGACTATATGTGGACATTTGATATTGTCCTAGAGTTCCCTTACTCTCTCCTCGTTTTTTAACATTCTTTTTTCTCTCTGCTGTTCAGCTTGAGTGCTTCCCGTCGCCCTGCCTTCCGAATCACCGGCCTGTTCCGCATGCTGTTGATTCCCTCTGGTGCATTTTTCATTTCGCTTACTGTGTTCTTCCTCTCTGATGGGCCCTGTTTTGTATTTTCTGTCTCTTCAGAGAGGTTGTCAGTGAGCTCGCCCACTCTCCTCTCGCCTGGTGAGCATGTTTATAATCATTGATCAGAACTCTGTCAGGTAAATTGCTTAACTCTGTCTCATTTCATTCTTTTTCTGAAGTTTTGTGATGCTCTTTGGTCCCGAGCCCATTCCTGAGGCTCCTCCTTCTGACTTTGTGTGTCTGTTTCTATAGGTCAGGCACAAAGGCTTCCTCTCCCAGCCTTGAAGTCGTGGCTTTGTGTGGGGATGTGTCCTCGGTAGACCGCACGTGCCTGGTGGTCTCAGCTGGATGCCAGATGGGCACAGACCGGGGTGTCCTGATGCCAGGGCGGACCCCTCAGTTAAGAGCTAGGCTCAGACCGGATCCATCTAGGATGTTGTTCTCTGCATGGTTGCAGTCTTAATTACCTTGGGTAGGTGACCGGCAACCTGGTGGCTTCATGTCCCTGCACGGTCCTCCCTCGGGCGCTTACTGGGCCTGTGCATGCCAGCCATCCTCCAGCAAGGTCAGCATGGTAAGAGGAGTCACCTCCCCCGTTTCCTCTCCTCAACAGGAAACGACATCGAGGACTTCCGTCGGTGTGTGAGGCTGACCAGAGAAATCTTTGCGCAGAAAGCCCTGGCACCGTTCCGGGGTAAAGAGCTCCAGCCAGGAAGTCACATCCAGTCAGATAAGGAGATAGACGCCTTTGTGCGGGCAAAAGCAGACAGCGCCTACCACCCATCGTGTACCTGCAAGATGGGCCAGCCCTCTGACCCCACTGCCGTGGTGGACCCGCAGACCAGGGTGCTCGGGGTGGAAAATCTCAGGGTTGTGGATGCCTCCATCATGCCCAGCGTGGTCAGTGGGAACCTCAATGCCCCCACCATCATGATTGCAGAGAAAGCAGCCGACATCATCAAGGGGCAGCCTGCACTCTGGGACAAGGACATCCCTGTGCACAAGCCCAGGACTCTGGCCACCCAGCGTTGAGGCCATCACTGCCCGAGAAGCCCTGTGATGAGACAAAAGGGCCGGCACCACTGTTGCCCCAAATGCTCGTTCCCGAGACCATCTAGTCTAGCCTGTGAAGTCAATGGTCCTTGAAATGAGACCAGGACTGTCATGTCAGCAAATCGGGTTCCACTTCCCAGCATTCTCCCTGTGGGCCCTTGGGGAAGGCCAGCATTCTGGAGTGGACCCCGGACCAGCGTAGGAGGACAGCTAACTCCTGCTACACCCTTCTCCCATGTTCTGTCACTCTCTGCAACCCAGCTCCTGGTCAGACTTGAGAGAAGTGGTTCTTTCCCAGGCCTCCCTCAAAGAACAGGGTGCTGTGCCCAGAGGCTGGGTGCCCTCCCCTCAGGCTGCAGCCGTCACAGTCAGGGGGCGTCCGGCACCCCTGCTCAGAGGGGAAGGCTGCCTGCGGGAAGAGACCCAGGGTCCTCCTTCCTCACCTCACTCCCAGAGACAGATGGGCCCGCTGAGCGGGGCCCCACCTCCCTGGCACTCTAGTTCTTAATGAACGTGATCGGCCCAGCAAGAGGACTTCCAGACGGTGTTCAGGGAGAGAAGAGTGTGGAGGTCTCCCCACAGCCCCAGGCTCCGTGATTCGCATTCTAGAGGTGCAGAGTACATCTCACAGAGCCGACGGCCGCTGCGTGCCAGAGCGGCCGGGCCGAGGACGCTCTCCCCTTGGCCCGCGGAGGCGACTGGGACTGGGCCAGGCTGGCTAATTCTTATTCTCTAGACGTCCACAGGAACAGACCACGATGGAACCGAGACACACAAGGCGGCCAAGTAAAACCGCACCCCGCTCCCGGAAAAATGCAACCGAGTGAAAGAAAATCAAATTGGCCAAAAAAAGGAGCATTTAAAACAGCTGTTTGACCCTTAAACTTGTTACAATGCAATAATGAGGTCCACTACTTTTTGAACCGAGATGCCTTAGACAGACTGTTCTGATGACGTAATGATTTCTGAAAAGATACCCAAAACCACTGTGGATGGCAGGGGAGAAAACTGAGGCATCCCAGGCTTCCCCCGGGAGGCCCGGCAGCCACACTTGTTTCTGAGAAAGACCTTCCAGAAAGGCGGAGAGAAGAAAACCATCTCTCTCATCTCTCCTCCCTTACAAACCTTAAGCGGCCCTTGTTTAATCTTACCTGTATCTTGCTTTATTTTTCGGTTCCAAAGGAAGGTCAAGAAAGAAAATTCTCAGTCTGTCGAGAGATTTCGTCCGAGAGGTTCCCCACCAGCACTGCTGGGTCTCGGAGCTGCCTGCAGGGGAGGGACGGCAGTGCCAGCCCACGGCTCTGAGGGCCCGGAAGTAGCGAGTCCGGTGTCCTGGGGTCATGTCTGTGGCTGAGGCTGGCCTTTACCCCAAAGTCCAGATTCCAACATGTACGTGGGAGAGACGGGATGCAGGGCCGCCTTCTGGCCAGGCCTCTTATTTATTAGCATCGCTGTAGGGCTTTGAGTCGCCCTTTTGGCTGTGTGGAGGCACAGTTTGGGTAGGTTTCTGCTCTGGCCCCTGTGCGACACCTCGTGGGCAGCGCCCCATGCCCACCTGCCGCACTCTGTGCCTTGGAAACGCTTAGCCTCTGCTTTGGGCTGTCCGCTTTGCTCTCCGCCTCCACAGCAGCAGTTACTCTTTGAGTTTTCCAAATCGAGGAGCATCTGTACCAAGGCAACGAACCTTTTGATTTTTGATCTATTTGTTTTAAGCTCTATTGTCACCAATAAAATCTTAATAGTCAAAAAAAAGATATTTCTCCCCTATTGGGGCTTATGGCGGATGAGAATGGATGTGTTCGTGCTGGCCTGCTCAGATGTGGGCATGGTGGGCAACCCGGCCACTCGGGTCTGCTGCGGCCGCGCTGCGTTCTCAGCCTCTGGGACACTGGCTGATTGGCCACTTGCCTGTGTTGTTAGGTGAGCAAAATGTTGTGTGCTAAGAGGAGCCCATTCGGCCCCTCTGCCCCACTTGCTTCCTGGGCCTCGTTCCGTGCAATCACACGATTTGGCCGTGCACAGAAATCCATTTCAAAGGAGAAGACCGTGAGTGGCAGACACCCAGGAGCCACCGAACCGCAGCTCCATGCCAGGGTGCAGACCCAGGACAGAAGACTCTGATTTGGAGCGGCTCCTCCCTCGAGCCCTGACGGGCTAGGGGCCACTGGCTGGGCAGAGTAACGCGGCAGCCTAGGTCGTAACAACGGGCTCTCTGCGGGTTCCCCTGCCGTGAGGCGGCCCCTGGCCTTGGGAAGGGGAGAGGCGTGCCCACTGAACCAGAGGGGACAGCTGCAGTCAGGCTTGCCAGGGAGCAGACCAACGGTCAGGTGAGCCCCTGAGCAAAAAGGGGATGCCTGAAAAATGGGAGAATGACGTTTCCAACACTGGTGGAAAAGCCCAACAACTGTGTGTGTGCCTGGTGAGCAGGCTCTGAGGAGGGTGCCCCCTCGGAGGTGCCAGCTGCGGGCACCTTGACGTGCAGCATTCCGGCCTCCAGAGCAGGCTGTGGGAGTCACCATACATGCAGATAGATTCTTCTCTCCAGCCAAACCCCGCTCCCTGTCCCACGGACCAATTACCTGATACCTGGATACTTTTGTCTGAAACATCAGAAACCCCCATCCCTGTCCACTGGCCATGCTGCAAGGCCCCGGTCATCTCCTACCACCATGCTCCCAGATGTCGTCTCTCACCGCTGTCCCTGTGTCGGCAGCAAGGACCCAGGCCTGCTGTCCATTCTCACCTGCCGTAAGCCCCAACAGGGGAGAAATGTCATTTTAGGAAAATTAAAAATTTTCAACAAATGAAAGCATAGCTGGGGTCAGATTTTAGATGAGGTGGGTAGACTAACACAGGGGTTGAAGGTCTGTGTGTGACCCCACAACTCAAGTCACTAACTACTGCTTAGAACAGCCAACTGCCCAGCATAACAGTGAAACCCTTGTAGGAAAGGAAATCGGCAAAGACCCTTCAGACTGTAAAAATAATCAACATGAAATAAACCGCCCTGGTGTTTGTCACAAGTGTGCAGTCAGCCGTGAAGTGGCTTCTCAAGCAGGTGAAGCCCATACGTGCCCTGAGCCACTCCCCAGGCCTGCAGAGCCCAGCACCCCCAGCCTGGGCTGTCGGGAACACCTCCCCGAGCAGGGCTGGGAAGCCCATCCGGCCGGGCCGTCCGCGCAGAAAGCAGAGAGGCGGCTGTTAACCAGGTTCCCGCTCACCAGGAGTTAAGGCAGAGCTGCCATTTCCACTATGAAAAACACAAGATTGAAGAAGCCAAATGTACCATTGTTGGGGACACAACAAAATGACTTTTTTTAGGGGGCAGGAGGGGAACAAAAAAGGAGACACTTAAAACTTCCCTAAAATGAAGGGAAAAAACCATGCTCTGCAATTTTCTTACAAAGGAAAATTTAATGTTAGCTGGGCTGTTGAACCAGACGAAAGCAGACAGAGGTATTAGATATGGTG